ACTCCATTTCCCAGAAGACCAAATTTCTCAGGTGGAACTTCCGAATCATACCCATCACTAGACGGATATGAAAATAACCGACAAATGAATATTATAGCGCGAGCTATCTTATTAAGACATGATCTTGTCAAAGTATGGGAAAGCATAGGGTACGGAGATATAGTTACAGATACAAATGACCTTGTACTCCAGGGTCAATTTCTTCTATGCTATCCACCCGGTTCGACATTTGATTATAGTATAGATATTATTTTTGATAAGGTTAATTGTTTGTACAAACTTGGATATAGACTTAATATACCTTTATTTAGTGAAATAATATTACTATGTATGAGATTTATTGACTTGATTGGGAATGATATACTCCAAATATGTTCTAAACTAATGAATCGTGTTGCAGAAGATGTATTATTAGATTTTTTAAGATTAAGCATGTTTTCAGAACAAGATTTTACATTGGTACAGAATTTCTATATAAGTAAATATATATATGTTAAGGAAGCATTTACGAACAGTTTAAGACAACATCTCTGCTTTCTTTTTCAGAAACTAGAAAGTATATTAAGAAGCACATACGAAAAGAGAGATATTAATATACAATTAAAAGAGATATTACCATTTAAGAAGAACTTTCTAAAGTGGATATTGACAACATATAACACCACATCAAACGTTGTTGATAAATACTTTAATTTTATTTTACATCTACGAGTTATCATCAATATATTCGAGGGATCATTTGCAAATGGAATGACTCTTGGATTTTCCATGCAGGATATCAAAATGATCAAAGAATTATTTCATCATTTTGTGTATTCCGGTTGTATATTCAAAAAGGAGCATTTGGATATTATCCAATTATGTAATGATAAAGATATTTTACATCTATTTTTTGATCATTTTATTATCGGAACAACACAATTACAAAAAGAGTGGCTAGATACCCTATCTTGCTTTGAGTGTAAAAAATATACATTGGGTAATTTCGAATTCGATGTGAGTATTAATTTTATTATTAAACTTTCAGATTTTAATGACAATAAATAAATAAGATATGTATATTGTGAATATAAATAATAAATGGCTATATAAGCTTTATTTTATTTACTATCTAAATGAATTAAGGTTATCTAACATAATT